TGAAAGCCTCTAGTATGTGGAGGTAAGGCTTACTACCAAATGCTCTACTAGAGGCTGTGTTTCTGCTCCTCACCCAGCACCAGAGGCCACTTGCTCAGATATAGGCTGGCTCCTCCTAGGGCTTACCATAGTCTCTGGAAGGTTAACTGTATAAAGCAGGGATAACAAGTGAATCAATGAACAAGCAGAATGCTTACCAGTCAATGTTCTCCTGGGCTGACCAGGATTTCCCTTTTCCTTTCAAACAGGCTTTAACTCGATGTGATTAGTTAGTCTTTTGGTCTGAACCTGCTGTGTGCTCTTGACCCCTCTATCTGCACTCCACTGATTCTCACAGGCACCCCTCTCTGTGGAGAAATGGGATCCCTGTGGATCCTTGGCATCTGCCAGCATTAGCTGTGTCTCATAGTGTTTTAGGCATATTTTCCAGGCTTCAGCCTGCTTCTGGGTCATTCAGGGGACAACTTGAGTGTCTACTGCATTTGACTATGAGAATAAGGGATGGTGAGGAGGAAAAGGAGGCAGAGAACTTAGTAGGAATGCAAATACAGGATACTCCCAGTTTTCCAGCCCACGAGATTCACACAGGGCTGACTCAGGTATGAGATGCAATGGTTAGCCTTGTAGTTCTGTTTGTCTTATTACTGTGCTTTTCTTCCAGTGTAAAGAATGAAAAAACAAATTCCTTCAGCCCATCATACCTTGCTTTTTTCATATGATTAGTGTCTGTTGGAAAGACTTTTATAGAAAGGAAAATAACCTTGGGGTCAGGGTGATGCTGCAATTTTACTGACGATGGGCAGGCTAAGAGTTGGTTTATGGCAAGCTCCTAGGTGAAGATGCTGCTGCTGGCCTTTGGTACTCATGTTGAATATCAAGGTTCTGGAGCTATGGTTCTCAGTCTTGTATGTATGTTAGAGTCTTCTACCAAGATCTAAAATTCTAGGTACCTTTGCTCATCCAGACCAATGACTCAGGGCCTCTTAGTCCCTGCCCCTTAGAGGATTAGTTACACAGGAGGATAGCACTGGCTGGCTTTGGAACTCACTGTGTAGATCAAACTATCCTTAAATTCACACATAGTTTTTGGCCTCTGCTTCCCAAGTGCTGAGTTAAAGGTATGCATCATAATTCCTGGCTTCCCTCCAGGTTTTAATGAAAGGCAATCAATAGTTGTCCTGTCATTTTTACATCTTCAAGAATACATTTGGTTTGTGCCTTTCAACCACCATGGAAGGCCTTTACATTTAGTTTTGTTGCTAGTTTGGTCTTTCCATAGCATGGCTATGGCTTCTTGGCTTGTGTGCTAGAGCACTTGTCTAAGAACTTGGTCAGAGACTAGTTCCTCAAAATTAGGCTTCAACAATATGGTCATCTCAGCAGAACCTTGCTACAAATGGAGATTCATGGGTCCCATCTCAGGGCAACTAAATCAAGGCCTCATTTACCAATGCCAGCAGGGACTCACATTCATAGTGAAGAGAAGCAGCATTAGGTGGGGGAGGGGGTAAACGGGGTGAGGACAAGTAGGTGATATGACCAGAATTGGCATTGCTAGCCTCAGGTGGCAAACTGTTCTCCAAAGTGATGCTGATCTACACTGGCTGAACAACATAGGCTAAATCCCAGTAATGCAGGCCTTTGTCATACTATGTGAAGGCATGCTCTAGTACTACTTTGTGGTATCTACATTTCCTGTATGTTAGGAAGGATGGGCCTCTCAGACAGCTCTTTTCTTTCTGTATGTAACTTTTCTGTGTTACTTTTACCGTCTTATGATTGCTATAGCTGTGGTGATATTTTGTTTGTGCCCTAAAAAATAATGCTTGTCTGAAGATCAGAGGGTAGAGCTAGCCACTCATCAACCTTAGAGGCTAGGCAGTGGTGGCACATACCCTGGATCCCAGCACTTGGAATCTCATGCCTTTGATCCCAGCACTAGGCAGGTGGAGACAGGATACAAGGAGGGGTGGCCACAGGATCTTGGGCCCATTCAGTCTGATTTATAGGATTTATAGAGGATTTATAGAGACAGAAGCTCAGCCCTGTCTGTCTGAGGATTTCATAGAGGTAAGAACTTTAGTGGCTGGCTGCTTTTCTCCTCTGATCTTTTAGCTCGCATCCCCTAATATCTGACTCTGGGTTTTTATTAAGACTAAATAGATTCATGCTACAGTGAGCTTAGAGAGAGATGGAGACCTGGGAATACCCTGGCATAGAGTGGCAAGGTTGAGCCAGGGTCTTTCAATAGGGAGACTGTCTGAGACATTGGCTTAGCTTTCTATTTCTTGAAGATAGAAGATATTCTACAAGTTGCTTGTCTATGCTGGACCCAACCCATGGTCCAGATTTTTCTACCCACAATGTCACTGGGAACAATATAATGATGAATTTTCCTCTTCAATCTGCCCAGAGAATGCCTATTTTGGTGGTTGTCATAATTTCCTGTGGTAAAGTTACTATTTCATTGTTATGCAAAGCAGCCATATATTCTTTATTTAGCCAAACACAGTTGCCTGTGACACAGTTACTATAAGATATGCAGTGTCCTAGACCTATCAGTGTATATTTCTACTGGCACTATCTACAGAAATTAAAGGTGGGGGTGCTAGATTTCGATTCCTATTTTAAAGAGACGATAAAGCCAAGCTCTTCCAGAGTAACACAAACAAAAACAACTTGGAAAAAAATATACGTGAAGTTCAGTGATTTCAATAGACCTCAGTATGAGACAGTGCTGTGTTTAATTACTTAATAATAGTGACAAGGTGAATAGATATGAACTGTCAAGATGCCTGGGGTACATAGTTCACTTGAGAGAGAGTCCATGCACTACAAGAAATGAAACAGAGTCCTAAAATCTAGAAATCTGTGACCTGTAGTCTTTAAAGGTCACTTGAAGGTCCCCGGGGGCAATGACAGATGCTTATACAAGGCTGCTGCCCATGACCTACCTACCAGCTGATACCAGATACTACAGTCAGTTCAGACATGCCAAGTGCATTTTAGTACACCCACAGGCTCCCACAGCAATTCTGTTGCTTTTCTGCTACTGCCAGTTAGCATCTCATCAAGAGACTGCTAGCCTGTGATGTGTCACTCCAGCTCTGCCACAAATTCCAGGCATGGCTCAACAGGTGGCTTGGCAGTTCTGACCCAGGAACAGTGTTCTTAGAACTTGGGATTTTCTATATTTTGATGCCTTGCCTTTTCATATTGGATTGCATATGATTGTAAACCCAGGCTTCCTGGATGTTGGCCTGTTTAGACTATAGAGAAGCTCAGTGGTGTTGGAAGGATCCTCCCCAGACTGATACAGGATAGGCTGTAGTGGCTATGGAGAATCACCCCACCCCACACTCCTTGCTCTTTCTTCTCTTGGACCCATCTGTTGAAAGGGTCTGCCCTGCTGATCACATGCATGTTACCATGTGCTCTACCTATTAAAGAACATAGGCACAAACCAGGGACTCATAGTCAGCCTTTTCTTAAAGGGTGTGAGACACATTTTGCAGTTGTTAAATGTAATTAAAATCTTACTACTTTTACAGAATATTGAGGATTATAATAACTATTCTAGCTGATAAAATACTCTAGAGATGATTTTTTTACTGAATCATAAAAACTCTTCAATCTATTTTTGTTCATTTTTTTTTCAAGATAGGGTTTCTTATGTAGCCCTGGCTGTCCTGGATCTGACTCTGTAGACTAGGCTGGCCTCGAACTAACAAATATCCACCTGCCTCTGCCTCCCGAGTGCGGGGGTTAAAGTCATGTTAAAGTCTAGTGCCACCAACACCCAGCTTCTTCAATTTATTTTAAAAGTAGACTTGTCTCACAACATGTTAGACATAGCACTGAACCATAACCAGTGTACAACATAGTTAATTTAGCTTTTCCTTTCCAAGATGGTATTTGAAATATTCTGATTTTTTTAAATGACTCACAATAAGAAAAAATATTTTTCCTTATTCTAAGCCAACTATATATATTCTCTTGTATAGAACAAATTAACACTAGACCTGAGACTTTAAACTACTGCTTTTGGGGAAAAATAAAACAGATGTTACAAGAAAGGACTAGAATTTCTTGATCAAACTTTTAGAGTTCATGGGCTAACTCCTCTTCTAAAGACAGCTGAGGGCGCCTACCTCAGCTGTGTGCCCAGATGAACAGTCACCAGCTCTTAGAGGGCAAGGCTGGACCAGTAGCTAAGTTTATGATGATGGAAAGAAATCTGGGTTCAGCTGGAAGCCTTGGTCAGAGAGGTGGTTATAGGGAGACTCAGAAACAGTCTTCTTCACTGAATAGCTGTTTGTTTCATAATAATAAATCATCCTCCCAAATGGGAAGCTGGCATACAGAAAGAGAACACTGGCTTTCTAGTCTTTCACCATATCTGTTCTTGTGCTAAGCATCCATGTGACCCAGAGTGGAGGGGATGGTGATGAAAACAGCCTGGAACTTTCAGATCCTTTGCTACATGCTAAGTTGAGCTTTTGTCCATGGGAGGGGGAAGGCATAGATTAAGGGCTACTGCTAACAGACCCTTGAAACGGGGCCCTGGCTTTTTGGAGAAGGTCTGATAGGACTTGGGCGAGTCTGGAATAAAGAATGGAAAGATGCAAGGGGTTAGCCTTATTTCTTTCTGCACTGGTTAGTAGACTGTCCAATCAACTGAGGAAATGGTTAATTTGTGATTAGAATAAGGAGGTAGATCTCTGCATTCTAAAACCAATAAATACCCCTATTGTTTTATGAACTCCAAATAATTAGAATGGGCCAAATAATTTGTAACTTCAGGGAAATATAGCAAACCTTTACATGACAGGGTTTCTTAAGCAGAGACAGTTGCTACTTCATTCACATTTATCAAAATCAATGACAAACAATAGGAAATGTGTATTGCCAAGCTACATATGTGCCTATTTCATGTGAAATATGAACAACCTCCAGTGACCAACAGTGTCCCAGTGGAGGTGGTGTAGACTCCAATTGGTCTTCTTGAAACTTGTATGATACATACAAAGCATCTACTAAATTCTCTCAGAAACTGGTTAGTTTGCTCTTTGTCATCTATTTAAGAAAGAACACTAATTATTTCAATCACTGTCTCTAAAGGTCCTTTGTCAAGTTGAGACTGAGACCCACATCACTCACAGACTCTTTGTGACCATCGCCCCTTGCCCTGGTTTCTGCCTAACTCTTGGCTGCACAGGACCCCAGGTTCTTGGTTATACACCCAACTTTGTATTTCCTCCCACAGCTTTGCTGTTGGGAACTTGCTGACCCCTAGCTATATGGTGCTTATTTTTTCTTCCCTTGCATTATTAGAACTAGGTTTCACATGTTATGGCTCTTGCAGCTCTGTTACATTCTAGGAAGGCATTGAGCTTCCCATATACCACCTACACTTTCTGAAGTCTGTACCCATTTTTTAGAAACCCTATGAGAGCATCCCTCTCTTCCTTGCAATCCCATGATTTCTCCCAGGGTACTTCATTCAGCAAGAGCAGAGTAGCTCTGGACTATCCTGGATTCTTGGGTTGATGGGGATTGTTACACTGAGTACCAAATGTCTCTTGCTAATACCCTCTTCTCTTCTTGTCTCTTTGTTTGTGACCTGTGGGGACCACTTACAGTACGAAGAACCTTGAAGAGTGGCCTGACTCCAGAAGAAGCCAGAGCCCTGGGCCTGGTTGGCACGTCTGAACTGCAGCTGTGACTTTTTTAGGCCCTCAGAAGTGTGCTGAGCAGAGACTCAGGCTAGCCCCACCCCTTTCAGCAGGGGTAGGGAGACTTGGCTTAAACATCTGATGGTTGAGAACTGAGAGCTCATTTCTGGGTGTTACACTGCTTGTGTCGCTGCTGTACATTGACATAGATCCCCAGGATCTTCTGCATGTACTTTGTTTATCAAGTCAGCTGTGTGTTTTTTGTTTCCTTGATACCTGGTTTATTAGTTCCAAGTGTGACACCTTTTCTAGGAAGCAACAACCCTTGTAAGGAACAAATCACTCCTGTCACAGTTGTGATGATAACACGAGGCAATGTGATTAGACTCAGAAACAGAGTCTCCTCAACAACAAAATGTCCAGATATAAATGCCAATGTTGTACACAAAAGCAAGCACAGATTGTCTACCAGTTGTGGATTTTAGATGTACTAAATGTTTATATAAACTCATAATGTACACCATGTTTCAACTACTAAATAAACAGAGTTTAATGCCATCACAAGAAACTTATTTTCATAGATGGACGATCTTAAATAGTTAGGCAGGGTCACATACTTCCTAGTCAGCAAGAACTCGTACTTGGCATGTTCTTCAGGTCCTTGGGGTTGTATTTTGTTGACTCAGTAGCCCCAACAACAAGCTCTTTGACATTCTGATTTAATTGCATCCACCCCTTGCTGCAGGGAATGTTAGCTGTTGTTAGCCTTGTTCCTTACCCATTAGGCTTGCTTTGTGTGATGTTAAAACAGAGACTAGAGTAGTTCACCACACAGCTGAACTGTTCTGGAACCAACATATTTGCCTTTTATATAAAAATTCATTGTCTCAGAAAATTTGCTAATTACTCAGATGAAGGAGAACTTAAAGTGCTGTCTACAGAGAGCATTATAGTTTTTACATTCATTTGTCTCGAGTACAAGTGGTCAAGACTTACAGTGTTTAAGACAGGATTAATTCAGGGATCTTAGCAGTTTCAGAGTGACACTGGGGCTGGCAGGTGCCTAGGAAGTGACTCTGATTTCCACAGAAGCTCCTCGGCTGGCCAGGTCTCTCCATGAAAAACCTATCTCCCAAGCCAGGAAAAGGTAAACCATTTACAGTAGCTACTTTCAGCAGCTGGATGAATGTTCCACCTTTCAAAACCTCTGCACTTCTGTATCTGGAATGGGGATTTATAGATAACACACAGCAGATGTTATCTATAAAAAGATGACATATTCATACTTACCCCTTTGACTGTGCCCTCCCTAACCTGTGGTAATGATCACTCTTTCAAGCAGGCATTTGGGAGAGGCTACCTGATGGATGTGAGTACTGCATGAGAGGCTGGGAATGTCAGTGGGGGTTTGTAGATTACAGACTAGGGAATTGATTTAATCACCCCTTGAAAAGGATGCATAGGACATTACAGTCATTTCCCTTTTGTGTGTGAATTATTTCACATGTGGTTTACTGGCTTTGAAGGCACTGGCTTATTGCCCCAGCACTGAACTCAGGCATGGGCTATCTATCACAGAGGACAGAGATGTATAAACACAGGAAGCTGCGTGGTTGTCTTGCTGCTTGGTGAATGATAGTTCAGTGTCTTCTGGGAGGCCCCTAGTGTTCTGCTGAATGCTGTTGAATTAGCATGGGTCACATTCAGTGACTGGGTGAAAACAATGTTAAGTTTAGGGATCAAAAGCTTCTGTAAAGCAAGTGAGGTTAACTAGTTTCTTCCTTTGCACCCAGGTAAGGAGAGTCTTATTTAGAGCTTCATTTTGAATATACTCAGTGCAACATGGGATAAGTAGCAGGACAGAGGTGCGCACAAAATCCATGGATGAGATTCACCTAGTGTACTGAAAGCTACTGCTATACCTCCCTCCCATACCCTCCTCAAGATGTTGTGATTGAGGTGGTTTAGAGAGCGGGCTAGACTTGGGAACATTTAAAAAATCATCTCATTTCCACCCCTATGTCTAATGTGAAGATGACTTTGAAAGTTACTGAGTACAAGGAATTTGATTTCGTGTGTGTGTGTGTGTGTGTGTGTGTGTGTGTGTGTGTGTGTGTGTGTGTTATATTCCTGTGTGTACCATGTGTGAATAGTAGAGAATGATGTAATTTTCCTCCATTGTTTTATGTTGTTATTAATATTAATCATCTGGATAGTTTTTTCATTGAACCTAGACTGGATGGCTAGTGAGCTCCAGGACCTACCTGTCTCCAGCCTGCACAGTGCTGGGGTTTTATTGGTAAACAGCTAAGTCTGGCTTTTACATGGGTGCTGGGGATTCAAACTCATGTTTGTATAGCACTTTGCTCATTGAGCCATTGCCCCAGTCCCACAAGGATTTTTTTCTTTCTTTATATGAGAAGTAGATAAAAGCCAATATAATTTATTTCCCCCAAAAGAACTGTTTCATCACCACTGACAACCTAACAGCAGAGAAATGGCTGAGTTGGTTTGTTCAGGAATAGGAGGGATGTTGCAATCCAGGGCTAGATCTATATGAAGCTAGGCAAAGGGAAGTTTTTAGACAATAGAAATATGTAGGTTGCTGGGGCTTACTCTAGGGGGTGACATCAGCTCAGCAGTGGAAAATCTCAGGTGGAGATCCTTGCTCAAGCGGCTAGCTGTCTTCATATGACTCACCACTGTCCCTGTGGGCTAGTTGTCCTTGTGTGACCTCAGTAGCAAGCTGAAGCTGTGATGTATGTGTGTGTACACATGTGCCTATATGTACACCCCATGATTCATTTTATTTAGAAATAGATATAAATAATTTATTTTGTATTGATAATGTTCACACTAGGAAAGAGCCAGTTAACTAGGACATGCCTGAGCAGAGCTTTCTTCACACTGTGTGCCTAGTGAACTATGCTTGGTCTTTCCTGCCTTGAAAGCCAGGAGAAATACACAAGATTCTCACTGAACAGTTTTTCCATGTCCCATAACATAGAAGGTACAAGATAGTGGTATAAGAAGTCAGCTCTCGAATTGTCTTTTCTTTACCCAGTGATGCTTGTTGAGGGAGTGTTAGTGTAGACATGCTGCAGGAGGTAATTTTCAAAGTGTAGTTAAAATACACCAGTAAGAGTTCTTCCAAGCCTTCCTTTCAGGATAGCTCTATAACACTGTCCTGTGCCATTTATTTTCCTGTTGGATTGTTCAAGTCTACTGATGATACAGATACATCAAAGAGGCTCAGATGAGCCTCAGTGAAAAAAGATTCTGCACCTTTAAGCTTGGTAGTCATTTTTTAGTGAAACTGGAGGATTTTTATTTCCTCTTCTTGTTGCCACTTCACAGTTTGTCTGCCTCTATTTAGCAGTTTTTAAAGTGTGTGTGCTTGTGTATGTGCATGTATGTATACATCTGCAGAAACCAAAAGAGGTATAAGATCCCCTGGGATAGGAGTTACAGCTGGATGTGAGCTGCCTGACCCAGGTGCTAGGAACTGAACTCTGGTTCTCTGTAAGAGCTGTCTGAGTTCTCTCTCTAGGTCCTGTATTGAATTTCTCTACAAGATCTTTGTGAAATATTAAAGAGTGTGTGGTGCCTTACCTGTGTAAGATGTCATTGCTAATTTTTCAGGTCATTACCACAGATATTATTGTGTCTCTATCATCACATAAATGCTGGAAAGTGATGAAAGACAAACATTATTTTGTTGAATATAACTGATTTTTTCAGAACCCTAAGGATTTATTTTCTGCTTAAAAGGTAACTTATTCAAAGGAAATTGGGGATGAAGGAGACTGTGCACAGAGCCTGGGAAGGCTGAAAGAACATGTTCCAAGTTCATTGTTGAACACAATGCAGGGATGAAGAGCAGGGGCACGGGTAGCAGCTTAGTTTCCCAGCTCCTAAGTGGCTTCAGGATCATGTGTGACTCTCAAAGCAAAATTTTATATTCATGGTTCCTTGAGGTGGTATAGTGGCAAACACTACTATGGCACATTGACAAATGGCACCTGTGGAGCCTCATGTTCTAATCTCTGACCTAAAATTCCTTTCTAAGGAAGATCCTGCAGTGTCTAGGTATGCCTCAGATCCAATCACAAGTGTCCTTATAAAGGACAGCCAGAAGAGTTTTGAGAAACACGGAAGAGAAGGTGGACTGAAAGCAGCAAGAATTGAAGTGATGTGGACCCAAACTAACATATGCTTCAGGAAGCAGGGACAGGTTCTCAGGGCAGCCTCCTAAGTACAGCCCCAGGGATACCTGGATTTGGGCCCTATGAAAGTGATATTGAACTTTTGGATTCCAGAAGTACAGGAGAGTCAATTTATGGTCTATTAAGCCATCAACTTTGTTGTACCTTGTTAAGACAGCCCTAAAAAACTGGTACAACCTCACAAATGTGTACTGAGTGCCACATTTGGAGGTAACTGTGTGCCAGGACTGGGTAATCATTTGGGAAAGGGACAATCACGATCTTTTCCCTTAGGAGGCATAACAGGAGCTGTGGGAGACTGTCATCAAATTAAATGTCAGTTATCCATTATTCTTTAGCCATTTCTAGTTTTGATTAGAAATCATTTTATCTGAGAGATAACTACACCACAAAAGTACCACATTGCTTAAGGAATGAAATGTCTTTTCAATTTTAAAAGAAAGCTAATGGCTTTGAAATAGACAGTGAAGATATGTATTAAAATAGATCATCAATTTTGTCAAACAAATCATCTGGTAGAACAATCGGTTCTGTTGGTTAGGTAATTCATGGGGAGAAAATGGACTTTCTGAATGCTTCTTAAAAAGCTGTTGCTTATTGAAACCACTCCATGTGAGTACTCCATTTGCATTATTTAATAGAGTTTTACAGCCCATCTATAAATTTTCATTTTACATCTGAAGAAATGGAGCATCAACAATGTTGAAGAACATTTCCTAGACACAGGATAAGATGTGGTACATCCCAGCATGTCTCATGTTGCTTTTTTTTGTTCTTTTAGTGACTTATCAAGATAGCTGTTGGTGGCATACTCAGTCAGCTAGGCTTCTGGGTACAAAATATGTGGTGCAGAAAAGACCAGGGGCACTCAATTGCTTCATATGTAATGTAGTTCATTATGACAGTGCTTTCTGACAAACATAGTCTGTAAGCTGAACTAAGGATATCCAGACTCTAAGGTGGTTACTGTCTTGTCAATTTTTAAAAAGTTAGACATTTTCATAGCTTTTTTTCATTGTTAGTTGTTGTCCTAAAATATGACACATTTGACTTAATGGAAAATTATGTACAACCAACATTAAATTTTATGTATTAATGGTTCATGGGACACAAAGTAGCACAACACCCTGACCCCCTGCTCAAAATCCACTGGAACCACAGAGATAAGGTAAGATGACCAAAGTTCACTGAATGGTTTTCTTCTTAAAAGTGAGCTGGGGCTTCATCAAGCTCTGGATAGAGGCACACCTGAGCTGAACCTCAGGAGGAAACTACAGGTATAAAGGCCCAGGAGAGAGCCAAATGTGTCTTGGAAGCAAAGAATGAACAGCTTAGGAGAGGACAGTTGCTAGAAGAAAGTTAAGAACTAGATACAATGGGGTCACTTTATAAAGGAAGAATAGGAAAAGCAGCAACTGCCTTTTCTAAGTGCTAAATCTGTGCATTAACTCACTTAGCAGTCACAGCTCCACAATGGAAGCTGTGTGGGTTTATAAGGAAAATGCTTGATGTTCTCCATTGGCTCAAATATTTGAACACTTGGTCCTTGATTGGTGGTGCTGTTTGGGAAGGCCATAGAACATTTAGGAAGTGTGGCCTTGCTTTGAGATATACTATATGGCCTTGTCCTGCTTCCAGTTCTCTCTGCATCATGTTTGCAGATAAAGATATGCTCTCAGTTTCCTGTGCAGACTACCTGCAGCAATGCGTCTCCTACCATTATGGATTCTCCCTTTGGAACTGTAAGCCAAAAATACTTTCTTTTATATGCTGCTTTTGGTTATGGTACAAAGTAAAGTAACCAATACAGCTGGAAAAACAGAATCTAATGGGATTGACTGAAGCCAAAGAAGGGAATTTATCAACATATTCCAAAGGTAAGAGCACAGCCAACATGGTTTGCTACCTACCTGTAGTCCATTCAGCTGTAATGAAAGGTCAGAATTACATTGCACAAATGTCACCAGAGACCCTGTGTGAACTACTGCACTGAACAGAGAAAGTAACATTCCTTATAACCACTAAAGCAATGGCTGAACCCTAAGGGAAGACATATGGCTTAAAAAACTAATAGGTTACAATTATTTAAAGACAAAATTGGAGAAGTAGGAATATAGCTAAAACATTAGCTATGAGATGGTAACTACTGAATCTGTGATAGACACAGCAGATTAATTATACTGTTGCATTTATATCTGTAAATGTTTAATAGTCTCCAATACAATACCTTAGGAAAATACATCATGTAAAAAGTGAAAAACTGATTAGTCTATTCCCATTATTATACATGCTTTACTGGATTACAAAAGTATTTTGTATTTTTCATGAAATCAAAGCCAAACCAATCAGACCTTAGCCAGGTTTGATTCAGTATTACAGTCAAATTGACTATAAAAAATTCCACACTAAGCATGGTGGGATACATCCATAATAAAAACAGTGGCTGTATGTGTAGAATGGTAGACTACATAGCTATAGGTCAGCCTGAGCTACATGGTGAAGCCTTGTCTTGGAAGGAAGGAAGGAAGGAAGGAAGGAAGGAAGGAAGGAAGGAAGGAAGGAAGGAAGAAAAATCCCGATACCTGGGATCTTTTTTGGCAATTCTGATTTTGTAGATCCGAAGTGGGCTCCAAAGATTTTATTTTCCACATGATACCAATGACTTTGGTGCACATTTCTAAGTCTAGAGATCCCAGCTTTAAGCATTAGATTCTATTGGCTATTATGTGCATGTTAGCTGGATCCTTTACTCCTGTCTTTGGCCTGGCTACCTCCCTATAAGCAGGATGATGTGACACTTTGTGCATCAGTACATCATGAGACATTCTAGTACAGTGCTCTTTCCTGGGCAGTTAAGTTTCTTGTACAGAATACTAACATTTTAACTGTCTTTTTTTAAAAAAGAGGTTTGTGTGTGTGTGTGTTTTGAGACAGGGTTTCTCTGTATAACAGCCTTGGCTATCCTGGAACTCAATTAGTAGACGAGGCTGGCCCTGAACTCTGAGAGATCTGCCTGCCTCTGTTTCTTGATTAAAGGTGTGCACCACCACTGCTTGGCTTAACTGCATTTTTAAAAACATCAGTCTCATGGGTGTTTTCCCTCAGTCAGTTTCTGTGTTAAGACTTTGCTAGAAGTGCCCTTTTTTTCTCTTAGAAGAGCCAGTTCCCTGAATGGCTTATGCATTCACACAGGGCCACCTATACAGAAGGTCTTCACATCTGATTTATTGCTCTGCTTAAGTCTGACCTTGTGTGTTCAAGGGAAGTATGATGAGACAAATGAGTGCACACATGAGCAGAGACGATTCGGGTGTGTTCACCACTCCTTTGGCTCCTCTAGTGCTTCATTTGTGCTATATAACTGGAATCAAATTCAAATATTCAATGGCTCCACAAATACTAACCAAACAATACCTACTACATGGAGATACTGTGATTGCTTCTAACCTTAACACAGAAGCAGACAAATGATGGTCTGGTACTGTTGGATTTCCTTGGAATTGTTACACATTTTTTAAGTACTCAAGTGCAATAAAATATAATTTTAAAAAAGACTCAAATTATCTCCTAAACTAGGGATAGTCTGACAGTCACAGAATCATTAAAGTTACACATATAGAATTTTCTTTTTGTGCCAAACTGAATATTATATGGTTGGTTTTGAAGCTGCAGAAGATGAGTGATGCTGTCTTAAACACTTTTCCATTAGAAGTAGACAGGCATGGTGGTGCATGCCTGATTCCAGCATTGGGAAAACAGAGGCAGAACAACTGCAAAGTTGGGGCCAGCCTGCGTTATTTAGACAGATCTTGTCTTGAAACATATGATTTAAAACAATGGAATACACTACTAACATGACACTCTGTGTGCTCCCAAATACACTGGAGCACTTATATTTCAGTGTCTGAACTATTAAAAAAAAATGTGGATGCAGCCAGCCAGAGTCTGCCATAATTCTTCTTAGATTTCCTGACAGAATGGAAGTGGTAGGAGGAGGAAGACTGTGGTAGTTTGAATGCAACCGACCCCCATAAATTCAAAGGGAATGGCACTATTAGGAGGTGTGACCTTGTTGGAGGAAGTGTGGGGTAGGATTTGAGGTCTCCTTTGCTCAAGTTACTCCCAGTGTCACAAACCATTTCTTGTTGTCTTCTGAAAAGATATAGCCAGTACCATATCTGCCTAAATAACACCATGCTCTCTGCCATAATGGAGTGAACCTTTTCAACTGTAAGTGAGCCATCTCAATTAAATGTTGTCCTTATAAGAGTTGCAATGGTCATGGTGTCTCTTCTCAGCAACAGAAATCCTAAGACAAAGACTGAAGTCCCCACCCCCTTTCTGAGTATCATTTTTTTTTCTGAGTATCATTTTATAATGAACAACGACAACAAAAAATTAGTTTTTCAAGTATTTTTATTCTTTGTGTGTGCACAGGTGCCTGTGGAGGCCAGAGAGCGCTTTGGGCCCCTTGTAGTTGGAGTTACAGGTGGCTGTGAGCTGCTTCATGTGAGTGCTAGAAAGTGAATTTGGGTTCTATGCATGAGCAGTAGATGCCCTTAACTTTCTAGCCCCCCAAACAGGTTAAATTTCCCTAAATATTTAAAGTGAAGTCAGAGAAGTACAGGTAGATAATGATAGGGACTTGTAGCCTCCATCACATAATAGAAAAGAGGAACCCTAGAATGATTAGTGGGTAGAGGGAGCACAAAAAGAAGTCTGGAGAACCACTGGTAAATAGAATAAGTTACCCAATGGTAAAGGGAGTGTACAGTCTCCCCTTCTCAGAACTCTTTATTCTTCTACTCTGGAATATCAGTACAAAAATTGCAGCCATCAAGAACACTGGAGCTAGATGGGTAACTCCTGCCCACTTCCAGGAATGCAGAGGAAGGAATAAGATATTCTTAACTGAAAATCAGAGTAATTTCTTTACAGAAATTCTGTTATATGCCTAATATTTAACACAAGATAAACCCGTGGGGTTGCTCAGTGTCTAATACTACTATGTTTCCTGACTTACAGGACACTTACAAAGGCCTCTTGGCCACCCACACTGTTCTAGACAGGCCATTGCTTAGAACAGAGGTAGTTGGGAGAGACAGCTCAACTCTGAATAAGCAGAACAGCTGGAAATTCTTGTGAACAGACTTGCTTTATCTACAAATGAATGCCCAGGGCTTTAACAGATAAAACACAGCAGGGGTCAATTTTTTTAAAAAGATGGTTTTGGCAAATGTAGACACATCAAAACAAAGCTAGATGGGTAAACAAACATCCTTATAGGTAAATGATTAGGAACATGGGATTTTATAGTGAATTAAAAAAAATGACTCAAGTGAGATGTGTTTGCGGTATAGGTTGTAAAGAACACAAGACTGTGTCTCTGAAATGTGTTCTCAAAACATACAGCCTATAAAGCTAAGGCATCAACATTACCTCAATTAACAGTATGAAAATGTTCGCATGCAATGCTGTCCAAAAACATTTTTGTCTATGACAAAAATGCTTCCCATCTCGGTGTTATCCAATATGGAATCCACTATCATGTGCATACTCGGAATGTGGCTAATACAACTGAGGGTGTAAAATTTTCATATCTGTGGTGGTCACATGTTACTGATGTTTCATGAATTGAGCCATGGGTTTATAGGGGGAGGACCTCTCTAATTATTACTAAGACATTAAGGATTGGGTATAGACATAAAAAAACAAAACAAAACAAAAAATCTCTAGACACATCTGAAAGTCTTAGCTGGTTTTGGAGATGGAGTTGGCACAACCTATGGGGGGAAAGGACCCCTGGGGATAATTCAGTATGGTCTTCCCAACTCCCAGCCTAAGGCTTTGGTCCTCAGGAGAATGCCTACAGTCACAAAGCGTCTCAGGATGGGGCCACCCCAGGGCATCTTTGCGTTGATATCACTGCTCTGAGGCTGATGGGATGCTTATTTTCGGGTTGGGTTTCCAGAGCTAGAGGAAGGTTTAGGGGTAGGAGGAGCTACAGGCCCAGGTCCTTTTGGGCCACTGGCAGGCTGCACAGGCCCTTGCTTTTTTGGGATTAAGATCTTGTTCTTGCTCTTGAACACTTTGCTGGGGTCCAGCTTGTTCACAAAGGAGTCAGCCTCTTCTGTGAGCAGACCTGTGTTGTAGGTGATGGGTTTGTACATACTGAACCATTGCTGTAAGGCAGAGGTGAGAACAGTCTGAGTGAGAAATGGGCCAAACAAGAGTAGGGGCACATAGGACAGACATTACAATCTGACCATCACTAACTCACACTTTTTTTTTTTTTAAATGTCAACTGGTAAAGTATATATGATTATATCAAAATTCAAAAAGCTATAAAACAATTCTTGTCTATACATCCATTGATGTAATACTGAATTTATACTTTTTTTTTTTTTATGAAAAACTGCCTTGAAAAATGCTGAGAGACCCCATCAACTCCTGGCCAAGCACATACAGTGCTTTTCAAGGTCTCCAAAATAAATGCAGTATGAGAACTAGTGAGCCCACCAGGGGATATTGTCCTCCTGCTTGCCATCAAAGCAGATGGTGACCACCATGGATACTCCAGTAGCACCAGCCCTCCAAATGGCGTGACAGAGGTCAGTGCAGAACTTTCATATGGTAAACTGTGTGCTGGTACTCTACACCTGCAGTTTCTCAGAAAGTTATGGAAAAAAGGGCAATCACTTTTTTTTTTTTTTGTGCCATTGTTTGACCAAAACACTTCATAGCATTAATTACATGGAAACTGTTCTTATAAAAAAATGTGAGAAGAATGAGGCCCTATCTAGTAAAGCTGCAGTGGAATGCAGTCCCTAATTTTTTGCTAATTAAGTGCTGTAAGAAATCACTATGATTTCTCTTTGGAGCAGACTAGTTCATTCCAGGGAACAGTTCTAGCCACCACTTTGTGCCTTCAATACATGCTGTATAAACCTGGCATCTTTGTTTGAAATGATGCCCAGTCTGTAATATACAGAAGACAGTTCTATATGTACTGATATGGAAACAGCTCTACAATGGAGTGCTAAGTGAAAAAGAATAAAAGTGCAGAATTACTACATGTGTTAGCACAAAGATACAAATAAATGTGTTAATGCTTTTCATGTAATGAATCTCTCAAGGAGGGCATACATACTGACAGCTGCACCTGACAATGGGGATATATACTGGGAACAGAAGGGAATTAGAAACTTGTTAATCCTTTTAAATGTTTGTATTGTCAAAAAACAATTGTCTGGACCCAAGCCCTCAGTGAAATTTAATTAAAAACAACACCCCTGTTGATCCTGATTACTTAATTAGATTCAAATCATGAGAGGCTAACAGCCAACATTGGAATCACTAGTCTTACTTATTAAAAAATATGGGTCCCGGGAATTTGGAATGTAACATTTTCATTGGAGATTCTTGAAACACATCAGATTTTGGGATGGTGGGAGTTCTCTCCTTACCTTGGCCTGTGGGCTAATGCCATAGCTGGTGAAGGCATATTGCCACTGGGGCAGGCCCAGGTGGGTGATGAGCAGGCGGTAATAGGCAGTAAAGGTATCTGTGAGAAAATGCCAATATAATGCTCTGTCCAGGAACCAGATCTCAGTGTCATGAGCTAATCCTAAATAGCACAAGAAAAAAGGGACAGATTAATATGTTTTCCCTTTTAACTAAAATGCCAATAAACATTAATAGTTAAGAGAAATCCATAGCAGAAAGGTTTTAAAACATAAAACGAAACTTTTTCCCCTTTTAGCCTCCCAATTCTGTTCTCTCATGGCTGATTTTACCCATTTATTTGGTATTCATAGATTTGATTGATCACACAATGGATCTTTCTGTTAGCTCTGACCTTGAGGCATTTCATTAAGGCTATCTTAGCAGATGCTTCTGTTCTGAATGGACTCAGAGCTCCCTCCTTTTTCTTTTCTCTCTCTTTTTCTTTCTTTCTTTTTTGATGGAAAGAAACTCTGAATAATCAGTCTTTTAAAAAGAGGTCTCTAATCAAAAGTGCTATGAAAACAACCAATGTGAGAGTCTATACCAGTGGTTCTCAACTTTCCTAACGCTGTCACCCTTTAATACAGTTTCTCATGTTGTGATTCCCAACTATAAAATTATTTTTTGTTGCTACTGTTATGAATCATAAGTATCTGTGTTTCCGATGGTCTTAGGTGACCCCTATGAAAGGTCATTTGACTCGCAAAGGGGTTGTGACCCATAGGTTGAGAACCACTGGTCTATATCACCTCTCTCCTGCAATCCTGCATGCATGACATCTTATCCTAGGTCAGCTAACCCAGGCACTATATGCCAGTTCCTATCTTGTATCTGTCTGTGGCCTTCCATTTCTGTCACTTTTAGCCTATTCTGGCTCATTAGCTTTCTAGAGAGCTGTAACACCTCTCCCTAGGTGTTCCCCATTTACTCTTTTCCTTCTCCAAAACTACCTGCCTATTTTCATTTGAATCCTGCCACTCTCCTAAACAGACTTGAACAACTCTTTAGTCTTCTGCAGCTGTCTGGATCTTTTTGCTTGGCTTTCCAAGCTCTGAATGATAAGAAGCAACTGGCATTCAGGCTCCGTCTCCTTCGGATGAGACAAACTTAGGCAAACCACTTAAGCTCATTAAAAGAGAACTGTCATTACCACAATCAGTTGAACTTTTTCTTGATAATGGCTTTTAGCTATCTGTCCCTTTGTTTGATTGCCTCTTTCCCTCCGTCCTCATATCTAATTCCAATTATTGTGTACAATGCAACTCCAAGTCTTTTGCTACAACAGCTTTACCTGGAAATGATCTCTTCTCTTCAGAGGTGATTTCTACCATTTTTTTTTCCATTTCTTTTCTTTTCTTTTTTTAGTTTTTGGTTTTCGAGACAGGGTTTCTCTGTGTAGCTTTGGAGCCTATCCTGGCACTTGCTTTGGAGACCAGGCTGGACTCGAACTCACAGAGATCCGCCTGCCTCTGCCTCCTGAGTGCTGGGATTAAAGGAGTGCACCACCAACACCTGGCTCCAGAGGTGATTTCTAATGTTTATGCCTCTTCACCACCAGAAAGAGGTAAGAAGAAAGCTTAACTGTGTTCAGCTCTAGATTTGGTCCCTAGCCCTGAAGTGCTACTAAGGAGTAGATGGTGGTTTTTGTTTAGGTGTACAGTCTCTCAGGAACTATCATTTAGCCCTGCTTTCTTGTGGTTTTCAATATGGGGATTTGAGGTCTAGTAATTCAGGTTTCTATTGCTCTTAAATGGCCTACATATAAAGTATAAAAGAAAGGCCCGACACTTGGCAGGTGGATCTCTGAGTTCGAGACCAACCTGGTCTACAAGAGCTAGTTCCAGGACAGCCTCCAAATCCACAGAGAAACCCTGTCTCGAAAAACAAAAAAGAAGAAGAAGAAAAAAAAAGGTAACATATTTCCTGAATGGCTTATCTAATGCATGGCTTTATGAACTAGTTCTTGAAGCTTTTTCCATCTGTCCCACTGACGGCCACAGGGACTTACACAAGGTGATGGAATAGAGAAATCAGCCTAGTGGGAGATTTTCAGAGAGGACAAGAGGGGCTGAGTCTTGGCACAAAGAAGAGACCTGGAAGCATCTCAGAGAGCTTTTTGTTCACTGATGGCTGACAGGTAAATTCAAAGAAGACCACACCCATACTGTAGGATCATGCTTTGGAAATGATCTTTACCAGGTTTCCCATGTTTGTAGACGAGGCAAACCTTCCCATTACCATTGCACGAATCCAGCTCAAATATCACACTTCGACAATCAAAGTGAGGCTTCTCTGGTTGGTCTTCATTGGCTGTAAACCCAGAAATCAATAGTAATATTCAAACAAACTCAACTCAGATACAGCATTATCATCCTACACAGCACTATATATATAACTTTGCAAAGATAAAAAAAACGGTGAAGGATGCTATACTGTAAATTCTCTGGGATTCATTGATACATCAGGCCTTCTTATCACCAATAGAAACTGACAGGCAATTTGGGGGAAAGAACACTGAACTTCTTGAGAATGGATCCATATAAAGGCAGAGCAATATGAATGTTAGGTTACTGATGGAAGCCTCTTCCTTTTCCTAGGCTTACTGCAGTAAGAATGGGACCCATGGTCTATGGGGGTAGATGAATCATAATTTATTCCACCTCCCATTGACAGGTATTCATCTTATCACCCTCTGGCGATAATTCTAAAATGTGTGTCAGTTCTGAATTTGTTTTAATCTATTTTCCCCCATTAATACTGTAGTTTCCTGACTGGTAACCTTTGATTAGATGCCAGAAATTGTTAACCTTTTACTATTGAGTACTAAATGTTTTCTATTTTATAAATATTCTTGAGCTTTGTTCTTAGACACAGTTAAATTACTTAGAAACAAATACTTTGGGCTTACTTTTAGGATTTCTCGGGCAGAAGCTGGGTCTGGTGGTATAGTCTATGATACTAGCATTTGGGATATGGAGGCAGGAGGATTAGGAGCTCGGGGTCACCCTCAGCCTGGGTTACATGTACCCTGCCAGAAAAAAAGAAACATGAAGAAGTTAGGCAGGATAAGTAGAATGGTCTTCTGCCATTACCAGAAGCAAAGGTTAGTGTTAGGATGCTGTTCCAACTGCAGCATCAGCCTTCAGTTCCTCCCTGAAGCTTCCCCTTGGTGCTAACTCTATCAACATAAGCATACTGTCTTAGAGTCTGTGCCTGAAGCAACACTGTGGAGAAACCCTTGAGTTCTTCAAGTTATTTATAATTTAGGTTGGTTCTTGTTCATGGGGTTGACTTTTTTCGGGCGTCTACATAGTTTTAGTAACATTTACTTTCTGAAAACTTACTTATAAAAAAAAAATCCAAGGCCTTGGGTAATGTCATCTCCTTTTTATATAAAAGCCTTTTTTAAGGTTATAATTCATCTACCATACCACTTATGTGAAATATAGAATTCATAGCTTTTAGTATATTTTACCAAGTTATGCCATTATCACCATAATTAATTTTACATTTTTTTCTGGAGTGAATTTAGGATCAGCCCTTCCCTTCCTGTCACATTGCTATGTCCCAGCCCTCAACACGGTGGACAACTATAGGCAATGCCTGCTAGGTAGATAGCCCACTGTCCTCCAAAGTCAGATGAAAGTTTAGGCGTAGGAGGTGCTACAGGCCCAGGTCCTCTCTATTATCCCAGATCCAATTCTCAGGGTTGCCCCTAGAGCTGCAACAGACCACCAGCCCAAGCACACCTATCCCCATGTGGATGCTTCATGTGGATCCCTTAGACCATCTCCTCCTGACCTCCCATCCCTCATGAACATACCAGCTGAGCAGGGCAGTAAAACAGGGAACTCCCAGCCAAGAGACTCTCTGAAAATTCAGAGAAACAGAAACCAAGGAATAAAACTCCCACCCAATGGAGACAAACCCAGAAATCAGTACCTAGACCTATAATCACCCCAAACCCAGATGCCTAGATACCAGTTTAAGAACACAATCAGCAATGGCCAGGGCAATATGTCACCACCATAGCTTAGCTATCCTACTACAGCAGGTCCTGAATATTCCAACATAGCTGAAACACAAGAAAATGACCTTAAAACCAACTATATGAAGATGACAGAGGTCCTAAAAGAGGAAATGAAAAAAAAATCCCATGAAGAAATCCAGGAATGTGCAAAAAACCATTAGAGGGAATGAATAAATCCCTCAAAGAAAGCCAAGAAGAAAAAAACAATGGAAGGAAACAAAAAAACTGCTCAAGACCTGAAAATGGAAATAGAAGCAATAAAGAAAACACAAACTGAGGGACCCTGTAAATGAAAAATTTAGGAATGCAAACAGGAACTACAAAGTAAGTTTCAGCAATAGAATACAAGAGACAGAAGAATCTCAGGTATTGAAGCTAGACTAGAACAAGTGGATACTTGATCAAAGAAAATGTGATATCTAAAAAATTCTTGACACAAAACATCCAAGAAATTTGAAACACTATTAAAATACCAAACCTACAAATAATAGGAATAGAGGAAGAAGAAAAATACCAGAAAGGCCCAGAATATAGTTTCTACAAAATCATAGAAGAAAAATTTCCTAGACTAGAGAAGGAGATGCCTATAAAGGTAAAAGAAGCATACAACAGATAGTTTGGACAAGAAAAAAAAAAGTCCCCTCACCACATAATAATCAAAACACTAAATATACAGAACAAAGAAAAAATATTAAAAGCTGCAAGTGAAAAAGACCAAATAACATACAAAGGCAGATCTATTTGAAAATTACACCTGACTTCTCAATGGTACTGCAGACTCTATGAAACAACAGATGCCAGTCCAGATTACTAATACCCAAATGGAGAAAACAAGATGTTCCATGATAAAGTTAACTTTAAACAAATTCCATCTACAATCCCTACAAAAAGTGCTAGGAGGAAAAATCCAAGCTAAGGAGGTTAACTTCACATGTGAAGCTTCAGGTAATTTCACATCAGCAAAACCAAAAGAATGGAAGCATGTGGGTTTGTTTCTCTGTGTAACTCTGGCTGTCCTTCCCCTCACTCTGTGTATCAGGTTGGCCTTGAAATCACAAAGATCCACCTGCCTCTGCCTCTGGAGTGCTGGGATTAAAGGAATGTGCCACCACACCCAGCTACTCTATTTTTTTTTTTTTTAAGGACTTTATCCTTTTTCTTTTCTCTCCCAAGCCTTACGTATATTTTTAAACACACTGTAAACTGTTTAGAGTTTGTTTTTTTTTTTTTTAATTCTGAATCTGTACTTGCTATATATTTCTTTTTCTGACCACATGAGTCTTTAATCTGCTAAACAGCATGGCTAAAATTAAATAGGCTAAAATTAAATTAAATAGGGCTGGCCCCGCCCCGCCCCATTCCTTAGCTTTTTGAGAATAGCTTCATGGTGGAGTACTGGTGAGAGCCATGCTTATTGCCACAACTCTTCAGAGTTTCTAGGTCCACGCCACCACCAAGAAGCATGCTGCTGGCTGCTTGTAAACACCATTTAATTGCTTGGTAGCAGGGTCTCCTGCAGTTTTTGCTGCTAAAGTTGA